TCTCCACTAAATCTGGTACCCTCTAACTTACTCAGCTGTTTACAGCTCCAGAGTCCCTGCTTCAAACCGTTACACCTACTTTTTTAGAAATTCAGATGCTAGAGGGAACAAATGTGTGGGCTAAAAGTATGATGCTATCTTCCTCCCCCAAGGTGATAAATCTTTATGGGAGTAGATTGCCCAGTCCTCCTTCCACAGAGCAGCTGGTGGGTTTCAAGTGCCAACCTTCTGGTTAGCAATCAAATGCCTTTGGCACTACACCACCAGACCTCCTTATAGGGTAGTACATATTGAATGAAAACAGTCCTTTGGAGGTAGCCTTACCAGGGCTAAGCTCTCTAAAATTTGAACTCAACCATGTTCTTGCTGGTGTGATTTTCCATGAGTTTATAACCCTCTTGAACCTTAATTTCCCTGTTTAAAAATGTGATAATTGCACATACCTCCTAGTATAGTTATTAAAATTAAATGCAGTAAAGTATGCAAAACTCCCAGCATAGTATTAGGCCAATAATAAGGTTTTACTAAATGCTATTTTCCCTTTCCTCTCTATTTTACTAGGTTAATAAGTTTCTTTGCAATACGACTTTCTTTGACTACAACCTTCTTTTAGATCTCCAAGGGAACTCTTTATAAGTTTTTTTCTGCCCTTCTTTTATCTCCAGGTTCAAGAGTATAGAGAGGCTCTTGAAGGAGTCCTTATCAAGGGCAAAAATGGAGTGCCACTTTTGCCAGAGCTGTACAGTGTTCCTTCTGACAAGGTGAGTTGGACAGAGCTCTCACATGGAAATGGGAGATACAGTACTTTGAAAGGATTGCCTCATTTGAGTCAAATAATTTTCAGTTTTTAATAAGGTTCTAAAAGTTTGTTTTTAATTCTCTAACAACAGAAATATTATTTTACTCATTCAAAAATAAATTTTTAACAGTCTCAGTCATGGCACTATTGCAAAGCCAGACAAGGACAAGACCAAATCTTGAGGCTGCAAATGATATGGGTATCAGTACACAGTAGTAGAGTGATAGTCAATATGAGGTCTCAGGATTTGGGATTACTGCTTTGAGGCTAGTATCTGGGATGTTTTGAGTAGATAAAGCTTGGAAAATGAAGCATGTACTATCTTCATTTTTCCCAAATAGCAGTCAAGAGTACCATTGCTCCTCTTGACCATTGAGAAAGAATATTACAGACATTGGAGAAATGCAGTTTTCCATTCTGGTGGGAGTTCTGGTGCCATAGCACCTAAGGGACTTGACTGCTAACTAGAAGGTTGGCAGTTCAAACCCACCAGCCACTCCTCGGAAGGAAGACTGGACAATCTGCTTCTGTAGAGATACTGCCTCTGAAACCCAAGAAGGGTCGCTATGAGGTAGAGATGCTCAACGGCACATAGTAACAACAACATTCTGGTGGAGATATATGGAATAAGCTCCTAGCAGCATCAGCAGTATCACCTGATACTGTTGGTTAAAATGCATCTGCAGCCCCCACCCTAGACCTGAATCAGAATCCACATTTTAATAAGATCTTTAGGTGATTTGTTACACACATTAGTTTGAGAAGTACTGCCTTAGATTATAGTTATAGTGCTTGACTTTTCATTGCATTGCATATGTGACTGTTTAATAGGGTAGGAATCAGAATCCAGACTCAGCCTTTGTATTATGTAAATCTTAAACCTTCTATTAGCCTTAGATGGCCCTTTTCGTCTTTTCTCTTAGGTTGATGAAGAATACCAGAATCCTCACAGTGTGGATCGAGTCCCCATGGGCAAGTTGCCTCACATGTGGGGTCAGTCTCTATACATCTTAGGAAGCTTGATGGCAGAGGTAAGGAGAAACTTCAAGGCTCTCCCACTTTTTTTCTGCTTTACTCACTGTAATGATTAGATGTGTGAGTAACTCATTAAATTTGAAGGGTATGTCTTTTGCTTTTATACTTTGCCTTACTTTTAGGTCTTCAGAATGAAGAGCATGACTGTCCCTTGACAAAAATCTTTCTCCTTTGCAGCCATGTCCTTTCTTGCCACCCAGACCTCCCTACGTTGGTATTGTACTTATAGTTGCCCAAGGATCCTAGATCTTTCCCTTTCAAAACTTCCCTAAGTGTCTTGATTGGTAACTGGAGCCAGACCCTTTTACCTCTTTATTTATGTAT